TCGTTAACTAACGAGGCCCGCGGTTACCTCGATGGTCTTGTGCTGGTCGATGCCCAGGCTGTGCATCAGCCTCAGCACCTGCTCGTTGTGCTCGCCCACGCCCGCCTCGCCCTCCTCGGGCGCCGCCGCCTGCTGGTACAGCACGGGCCTCTGCACGGGCACCTCCAGGGTCATCCAGCGGTGCTCCTTGATCTGCGCCACCGTCAGCCGCTTGGAGGGGTCCAGCACCAGCATGCGGCGGATCAGGTGCTCGCAGTCTGCGGGGGCAGGGTCACAGGCCGGCCGGTCACATCCCCTCCCCATTGCAGTTACAACACAGACCCACCAGAAAAACCAACGTGCAGATCGAGAGATTCCTACCCAGAGCTTCCGGCACAATCAACCGCGGCGATCACGCTATAGAGAACTGCCAGATCAGACAGCCTGGCAAACTGCAGTCTTGAACTGGCCACACAGATCAACCCAGAGCCCCCGCAGGGCCGAACCCAGCGCATTTACTTCACCGTTTCTGGATCAGTTTTTATTTATTTCACGATTAAAGGGGGGGAAAAAAAAACAAACGAGCAGGTTTGAGACCGTCATAAAAAGTAAATCCCAAAATGCAAAAAAAAAAAAAGAGAGAAATGACTGGGCTCCATATGGGAAGCCAAGTGGGAGGAAACTTAATTCATGCTGTTTTACAGGGGGCAGAGCAAAGGGACCTTGAACCGTCACTCTGAACTCACAGTTCCAGTTGAAAAAAAGACATTCCTCCAGCAAATGTCAGCTCGGGGCTTCAGTTATTATTATAAAGGTGAGACGGGCACCAAGGATCATCACTGCACAGCTCGGCGCCGAGGCAGCAGCCCGGCTCAGGCTGCTCTACAGGTCAAGGTCACCCCGCTTCTAGGTCCTGGGCAAGGGCCCCTGGACCCCCCGAATTTATCCCCCTCCACCGCACCCCCTGCCTGCAAACTCATTTCTGGCAGGAGTCGGGGGCTGGGATCCGCTGGCCCGTCCCCAGGCTCTGTTATGTAAGCCCTGGACTTAATCTCTCCCTCCGCGGCGTGTGGGATCAGCTAACCTCACATCCCTGCGTCAGGACCCCCCCGCCGTCTCTCCGCTGGGGATGCTGCCAGTCTGGGCTGTATGGCTCTCTGGCACAGGGGATCAGACTCCCGCAGTCCCAGACAAGCCCGGCCCCGCTACAGTGACACAGGGCGACTGTGGGGACTGGATCTTTAGCTCTAAAGCAATGATGAGACCCCTTTTTCAAAAACAGTAAAACTGAGTTACCATCATCTACATCTTTGCCTAACCCCTGAGATCTCTCCCAGCTGGAGCCAGACGGCGAGCGCTGTCGAGCTGTGATCAAGGGCAGAGTCAACCCGATAACAGTCAGAAGCTTCTGATGGTGGATCTAGACAGAAGGGCTGCTTTAATCCAGCCAAATGACTGGGATGTGGGCCACACTGTGTGAAACACCGCACCCCGCTGGCAGGAGGGCCAGCCTGGAAGAAAGGGATTGGTACGTTTTCAAAGGATCTTCCTCTCCAGTGTGATAATTGTAGCTTCCTGTGCTTTTTTTCCCCCCGTGTGAGATCACTGGAAAACAGGCTGGGACACTGGCCTTGTCTGAGGGTGGCATCCAAAAGGGAGACTGCAGATCGATAGGTAGACTGCAGTTATTCCTGTTTAAGCGTAGTTTGGAAACATGAGCTGGAAGTTACAGGAATCTAGGAAAACGTCTTTGCACAGCAGTTATCCTGCATCCTGAGACCTGCTCCCCTCCCAGGTGGGCACCCTGCGGTGCCCCATGCGGGGTGCCGGCTCCCCCTCTCTCGCTTACCTTCAGTCATGAAGTAGGGGATGCGGAAGCGCCCCTCCAGGACCCTCTGGCGCAGGACGGGGAGCGAAGGGCCGTCGAAGGGCAGGGCTCCACACACCAGCACGTACAGGACCACGCCCATGCTCTGCAGAGACAGACAGATTCAGGCAGAGACGGACACAGCAGCATCGGCAATAGAGCCCCAACTGGACACATACACTCTCACAGGGAGCCCCAACAGAACACACACTACACACACTCTCACAGGGAGCCCCAACTGGACACACACACTCTCACAGGGAGCCCCAACAGGACACACACACTCTCACAGGGAGCCCCAACAGGACACACACACTCTCACAGGGAGCCCCAAC